GATCATTGGATCCTTGTCTAGAAGTGATTGCCTTATTTTTTTTTGTTCTTCAAATGAAAATCTCATTTCATGTGGCTTTATACCATGACCATGTTTGTTGCAATTCCAAGATACAAGTTTTTCTTTCTTTTTTGAACCTTTATGATGGTCATATTTCTTCTTCATTTTTCCTATGTTATTTTTTTGATGTTTGTAATCTTCTACCATGTTTATAGAAGATCCATGAACTTCATTTTCCTTTCCTTTTCCATTTTCTTAATCTTGAAGACTCTCTTCAATTCTGAAGTGACTACCATGTTGTACTAGATAAAAATGTTCCATTTGGTATTTCAAAGTGTGATTAAAATCTTCTAAGATGGAGGCAATTTATCAATGACACCTGAGACAGAAATGAATCCATCAATTTAGCATCTTGTGTTGTTCAAATTTTCCTAGAATCCTCATGAGTTCATTGTATTGTTCCATGACAGGTATAGGATCCGCCATTTTGTAATTGTTGAAATTACTCACAAGGAACTTCTTATTGGAAGCATCCCTATCCATATAGTTTGATTCAAGAGCATCTCAAATATCCTTTGTAGCTTCATGATTTCAATAGAGATCAAAGATAGAGTCATACATACCATTTAGAATGCTCCCATGATAGATATAATCATCATATTCCAATTTGTATCTTCTTCTGGCATGTTCAACAGTTTCATCCTCCATTTATTCTAGTGCATGAGTGTTTAAAATGTGGAAACTTTTCAAAGTGATGAAAAGGAAATGCACCTTCTTTTCCTGCAATGAAAATCATTTCCCTTAAACTTATCAAGTTTCCCCAACTTGGAACTCAAGTCCCTAACAGATTCTACAATTGTTACTACTTTACAGAAATTATAGATTTCGAATGATAGAATTAGTGAATCAGAATAACAATATATATTACTTGGATAACTTCAAGGATTGTGTTTTGAACACTTTCTGAAATTTGTTATTCGTCCATATTACTTGGGGTATACAGATTCAGAAGTGGGATAATCCAAGAACAAAACCAATCTGAATTACAGGCCTAATTCAAACTGTCAAACACATAATGCCTTTGCTTCATGTGTTCTTAAGAGATAGAAAAAAAAAATCTGATGAATTGATTTTGAGTACATGAGAGTTTATCCTTTTTCCTAGACCATTGAAATATTATTTATACATGACGGAAAAGTGGTTAAAACCGGTAAAATCAAAATTGGTGACAATATATGGTAGTTATTAGACATAACTGCACCTACATCTTTTTGAACTTGGAACCACTGCCAGGGGATTTTCCCTTTGGAATCTGCTAAGGGTGTTGCCACTTGAAACACCGTACCCAGGGCACTTCCCTGAACCACCGTATTCTAAGCTCATATTTATCACTCCGAGTGTGCACCCCGTAACTACAACCTCGGTGACTGAAATATAACTGATACCATCTCAATATTATTAAAAAATGTTGATAACACTAAAATCACCAATAGGATTTTTTATATAAAATTTCTTAGGAGTTTTTGATAAGATTTTAATTTAGAATAATACTATTTGTGAAAAGCAGAAACCTATTAGATGAAATAATCTTGCTTCGGTCTATATCTATGGGTTAATGAGACATTTTTATTAAATTTGTAAATTTGGATACATAAAGAATGATTTAAAGTCTATTTTCTACACATTATTTGACTCGCACCCAAAAGAGTCGCTCATTTATTTATCATGTGATCCCTTGTGTTTTTTATTTTCTTTCTTATTTTATTTTAATTAATTCTTTGAACACATGACCACCCTAAGATTAATGCATGTGGGAATCGAATTTGGGTGAACTCCTTTTTGGAGTGTTTCATACCAAGTGATGACAACTCGGCTTCCTTGATGGTGGTTTGATTTGGTATCTTATTTCTCATTGGTGGGATGTAAATTAACCTTCTTCTCACATGATTTCAAAGTAGTTGTCTTGGTCAATATTTACACCTCTGAGGTTAGTAAAAATTAAAGCTTTTGAAATAGTTGTATTTGCTACTTGATTCTATTGAAATTCATAAATTCGATATTTTTTCATGACTAAACCAAAGCAAGTGGATATTTTAACAATAATATTTCTTATTATTTCTTTTGGTTGATAATTAGAAGAAAGATGTTTTACCTTGATTAGATGTGTTGGTTTCATATTTGTAATATGCCTCTTTAGAATAAGTAGTTTTTATTAGAGAGACATAACTAGAAAAAGCCTAATGCTACATCTTATACAAGAATTTCTTTATCGGATCATAGCAACATTTATCCTAATATATTTTCCCATTTTCTAGATATAGTTTTGAACAAATGAAGCATATAGATATGAATCACGCTATCTAGGTCTACGCATTAACTAACTTTATAATTGAATACATGGGTGTTTCTATAATTCTAATCTCGTCTACAATAATGCATGAAGAACTACAATGATGACATGCACGATTTTATAACTTACTTTCTCATCTTTAGCATAATAAACAAGTTCTCAATAGAAATACAGTAGATAGGAGTGCTTGACCACCAATTGTAAAAATGCAATGTTTTAAAACCCGGGTTTTTAGTTGACCCGGTGTGATGACCGGTTCACGGGTCAACCCGGTTTATAGTCTTTTTCTATTTCTATATATTTTTACTTTCATGCATAATGTATAAACATATAAAACCAATAATTTGATGTCCACAAAGTTTAAACATTGAAAAACATTGAAGAAACCGCAAACGGCTCGTTGTTTTGGCGTTCGCTACTTGTATCCAACTATCCAAACTCTATTGAAACGGATCAAACCGGTTTAACCGGTTCAACATAAGCGATCGAACCGCGGTTTAAGGGAAACCCGGCCGGTTCGATCCGGTTCGTATTTTTACAAAAAACCGGTCTCAATCGACCTGCCTTCTGCCCCGGGTCACGGTCCAACCGGTTGAACCGGCCGGGTCGACCCGGGTTTTAAAACATTGTAAAAATGGAACTAGGTCCATGATCATCTAATAATATAGAAAAGGTTCACCGACATTTCTGGTTTGGTACGACTGAAATGTCAAGAAAAAAAGAATGGCAACATATATATAAAGTCTATACTAACACATGTGGGGAGTGTACCTAAGTGAGCCCTCTAAGTTAAGAGATCAAAATTTTCTAATTGAGAGACCAAAAAAATATGGACACACTCTAAATCCCCCGTCGATATTCCGTTAATGGTCATAAAAACCTTTTAGCGTTACTATGTTATGCTTGAGGGAAATTTTAACATGAATAATTCCACCCCCAAACAACACACCATGTTTCTATCAACCTCTGCTTATTGATACCACCGCCATCCCATGTGACTCTTTATAATAACATCTCTCCAATGATTCCTAATGTTTGTTAAAGAATAAAATTGTTGGAATATGTTTAAAATGTCATAACTAAACTGGTCAAGGTCATGACTAAGTTGATATATAATTTTATGGAATAAAAGTAAAGTGCTTTTTGGGTTGCCCTCAAAAGCTAGAAATAGCTACATATGACTTTAGGAGAGAGATCAAAGAATTTGTGAATATATTATGTGATTAATATATTAATTGGAAATAGTTAATACATAACTATGAATTAATTAGAAATGGTCAAAATTAATCAATTATTAATCAAAATTAATTTTAAGTTAATTAAGTGTTAATTAGAATTAATTAAAGGTTAAAGGCTGAATTGTAATTGTTTAATAGTAGAATAAAAGAGGCAATTCTAAAACCATCCGTGGTATAGATGGTTTTCGAGGAGTTTCTAGGGCTTCTGGAAACCCGATGGTTGTTGATAAGGAAATGATTTGAACTAATTATTTAGTTATTCAAATATGGATTCATCTTCAAGTTACCTAAACTACAAATAGAACCCTTGGGCATCATATTTTTGTGACTTGTCATACCTAGAAGGCGGAGAACAAAATTCTCTTCCTTCCTCCTCTCTCATCTTGTCTTTCTACTGTTCTAGGGTTTTAGGTGTCAACCATTAGAGGCATTGATACTTGTGGATATTTCTTTCTGTGGAGCATTCGAAGAACTCAAGATACTAACATATTTGATAATGCTAAAGTTATGTTCTCTTACTAGTGATTTTGATTATAGTATGATGGATGTATTGTTTTATAAAGTATGTTGCTATCAATAGTGAAAGGCCATAGATCCTTTTAGGTTTCATGTTGCCATAAGTTTTTGAAAGTGAAAGACTTAGTGCGCAGACAAGGTTTGAAAACTCAAACCTTGAATTAACCTAAGATCAATGTTTGCTGCTAATAGTTGGTCTAGTCAAGTCTGGTAAATCAAGCTTGTCTTGAAGTATGAAGATCAACAAAGTATTCAACAAAATATTTAATTAAAGTGAGTATGCGCAAAGTAAAGATAACTTAAGAACAAGAAGAATGATGGTGAAAGAGATGTGACTTGCATGAGATTTTGTAATTGATGTGAAGAGAATATTGCTACTTCCAGGTTACAATGCATGAAAGATCATATCCTTAAATAGTAAAGTGGAGACATAGTACAAACTGTGAAAATTCTATAGACTAGAAAAAACAGAGAACTTAACAAATCTAACACACAAGATTTACTTGATTTTGTCCTAGGAACTATTCACTTAATAAAAGAACAAGCAACATTTAATGCTTTTTATAGACTGTATCACATAAAAATACTATGAATGTCTTGGAAATGTCTTCATCTCGGAAGAAGACTAACTTCGTAACTCTTCATATCTCGGGTTGCACTTCACTTTCGGATCTGATTTGGCTCGAATTGCTAGAGGTTCATTTTTCTGCATCAACAACTCCCCCCCCCCCCCCCAAGTGTACTTAGCAACTAACCAAATCAGTTAGCTTCATCAGACACAAATAGATAGGCACTGTGTAGCCAACTTCGGACTTCCAAGTACCATTTCAGTTGTTCGATGAACTTCTTATTCACATGCTTAGGAGCATCACTTTTGTAGCGTTGGAGATGAACTTCTACAGGATCATTGATGGAACTAGACGTTTGTCAAGAACTTTAAAGAATTCTTTTTGGTTGGTCTTCTTTTTGAGATAGACATATCCAAATTTTGGTTCTTTAATGGGTCCTTCTGCCCAGATTTGAGCTTCAGGCATTTCATAAGTGATTTTGGCCAAAATATTCTCGGTTCTGAACAAGTGAGCAAATTCAATGTCAGGCCTGCAAAATTCGGAGGTGAGAAACAATGGTGAGAATGTCATTAGGGTTGATTGAGGGAAATTATACATCTGTGAGAGTGATGGTTTCTTCTTTTTTCCAATAGACATAGTGTTTGTATAACATATAATTAAGATCGAACTTTCTCTGAACCTTGTTACCAAATCCGACGATCTTGGTAATCCACTTCCGAGACCACACTTCTTTTTGAGGAAATGCATTAACAGAGTTAAATATTGTCAATCTCTCATGCTCTGTCCTAAAGATTATTTTAGGATGATCATTCAGATGAAGAGGAGCGTACTTGATGTAGAATTGACCATGATGAGAGATTGGTAGATCAAGTTGATTGGCATCTTGAATTAGAAGATAATAGTATATAAAGGGACAAAGTGAATATCATGAATAACTCCTTATTGGAAAAAGAAGAGATATGCCAAGCATCAAATTCAAATTGTCTTTCAATGTATGAATCCTGATGCTTTCTTTTAAAGCTCAATCTATTTGTTCTTGCGACTAGTCCTCAGAATTTTTCAATGTGTTCATTGGGCTGTCTAATTTAGTAGCAATCTTTTTTTCCTTTGTCTTGTGGAGGCTCATTTAGGTCAGAGATGATTTGTTGAATGGATTCAGTGATGATGAACTCTGGTAGAGGATGAACAAGAGGCTCTTTACGGAAATCATCAGGTTTCAAGGTTGAAGAACCTTCATCGATCTGAATGGTCCTCAGAGTAGGTATTGGTGGGAACATGGATTCTATAGCTCGATAATGACAAGCATCTCATCAAACTTATTATTCGGAGCATCAATAATATTCTTGGTGGCTCGGATTAGCTCGATAAGGTCTTGTTGCCTAATCATGTTCATCTCGTGCTTTTTCCGAACCTCCTTCTCCAACTGTTGGATTTGTTTCTCATGACGAACATGGGTTTGTATGATTAGTTCGTTGGTAGCACTGATCATGTCTTCATAAATGTTGTGCATAGTGGTGGTGGTCGAGATATGATGATTAAGGCTTTCATTGTATTTTTGTTCAACTTCTTCCAGAGTGTGCCTGAATCGGATGGAAATGAGATGGTTAAGTTGATTTGCTCAATCGATTTCGAAGGGGCCAGCATCATTGATCTTGGAGAGATATTTTAGAATGAGGTCAAGCTTGGAGTCGAGGCTGGTAACCTTGTTGAGTGAGTCAACCTGGATCCAACTTGAATAACAGTCTTGTTGAGTGAGTCAACCTTGGGAACAACACCAACAATCTTGTCTCAGAGTTCTAACAAAGCAAAAGGATCTGGGTCACCATTATCATCGTCTTGTTGTTCAAAAGGCTTGGAATTATTAGCTAGATTGGTTTGACCTTTGTTGCCTTGATGGCCTTGAGTGTTGGTATCAACATTTACTTCTTCTTCTTAGTCTTCTTCTTCTGAGGAGGAGGAGGAGAAAAGGCTAAACTCATATACTGGTTTGGAGGAGGAGGGATTTTGTAATGACTTGAAAGATGTGATTATCAGAATAACACCAACAGATGTGTTGTCATCATTAAACATTACATCATCTGAATGTTCTTCATTAGAGGGATGCGTAGGAGTTTCTTTGGTTGTGAACATTAGAGAAGGATAATCCAAAACAATTGTTGGATCGAGAACATCTCTTGTAGCGGTTATCTAATCTTCTTTGGAAGGGTGGAACTCTTGATCAGTTTCTTTATCAGTTGGAAAAGTAAATGGAAGATTGCTTTGAGTAGATCTGTGACACATTGAAATAAAATTATACTCCACTTATGCTCTTTTTCTCTCTGGATGATGAGTGTGAGCCCTGTCTAAAAAAAATAAACCAATCTTTGTCAGAAGTACCCAATCATCCTTCGCCTGAACTAGGTATCAGACCGGTTAGGGCTTTCAATGCAGGAGGGACTACTCCAACTTTAGAAAGCTTAGAATCAGAGGTAGATGCCCCTAATTGTACATGTGTAGAACCAAGAGGGGTTTCCAAAATGACTCGTGGGTGTGTCCCAGGGTGCTTCAAGTGACTATCTTCAGTACCGCAACACCTTTTTTGGAAGATGGGGGAAGATTATGTGTTGACTCCCCGTGAGTATTTGCATGTGATATTGAAATTCTAAAGGGTACTTTAGAGGAGTGGACGGGAGGGGTAGCCTATAATCCAGAGTCAGATCGAATGCCAATATGTGTTTTGTTTTGAGAGGATCCACTGACTTTGTTTCTCTTTTTCGATATAACTTTAGAGGATGAGGCCTTTTGTTTGGCTATTTTCTTCTTTCAGACACAAGTAGAAACTGGTTTGTTCACTTTCGAAGGTTGTTCATCCGAGTCTAAGGAAGAGTGTGTAGGGTCATACACAACCGAAGTCTGAAGATGGTGGTTGAGATAAATTGAGTCGGATGGAACTCTTGCAAAACATATGTTGTGGCAAGCGACGAACAGGCCTGAAAGCAGATTGGTTTGGTAACCTATAAGTTTTAGTAGCCTTAAAAGAACAGTATATCTCTTTGAGATCAGAATTGAGAGAAATGGCTTCTAATATTTCATCATAGAGCTGTTGAAGCATCAGAGACCAGAATCTCAGACTCGAGATCTCATAAGGCTTACTTTTGATGGCAAACTTCCGAAAGTCTTTCCATAGCACCTCGGTTATGTCAACTCCAATGCTTATTTTGGAATAGATGGTGTACACAACGTCAACCAATACTTTCTCATCGAGTCAGTACCACCATGCTTGCCATATAATCCTCGAAGGATTAGGTGCATCAAAACAGGACTTCTTGAGCTCCTTAGCCTTGAATTCATCATTGTACATGATTTCATGGAGAAACGTCTAAAACTCTTCAGATGTGGGTTCTTGAACATGAAACCCTTCGGGTTTTCTGGAATGTCGATTGCTTTGAGGAACGTGTTCTTGTGCAGACGAATGATTTTGTCATCAATGATCTTAACTTCAAGGACGTCTTTCTTGGTCTTGATCCGCTCAAAGGCTTTATGAAGAATTTGAAGAGGAAGTTTAGGGTTGGGGATTTTGGTAAGCGGAACTGCTATGGGATGATGAGAGATGAAGTCGATCATAATGTGTGACAACCATCAAAATTTAAGACAGGTCTAGATTTGAGTAAACTTAGTTGCATGTATAGGCACAACACATACTAGACTTGGTAACTAGAAGCTAAGTTATAACCTACTAGAAAACTTGGAAACAAGTAGGATCGAAGAATAATGTACTTAGATTTCACATTGGTATGTGAATTCTACAACTACTTAACTGTAATGACTATCCATATCCGAGTCGTTCCTTGAATTGAACATCTTTGCATGAATCATGTAGACACATCATGCACTTGACCTAGAAGTAGAAATTAGGTCAAAGTCTCAAAGAAACTTAAGTCAAAGTTGAAAACTAGGACTAGTATACTTGAATAATCAAATTCGCTTGAATCTAGGAATCACTACATAAAATGTCAATAATCTGATTTTAATCAAACTATGTAACTTTCTACCAAATACAATTATTTATTTTGATAAATTAGATTTTTTATCAAATATTAAACTCAATTCATTATGGTGTTAACAAATTTTATTTTGTTCAAAACAATCCAAGATATTCTACATCCATTGTGATATTCCAAAATGTCCAAACATTATAACCAAGTGTTAAAATTTTATAAAATAAATGAAAGTATTATAAAATTCAAACTACCCACAAAATTTTATATTATATATAACATCTTTAATTATTTACATATATCATGATATTGAAATTATACTATGGACAATAATTTATTAACATTATCTTATTTATGATCATAGAAGCCAAAATGTCATGAAATTCGATACAAGATTTTATATTTTTTAAACATAACCCCCAAACCTTATAAATTATATAAATAAAAAAATGAATGCTGGAAAAATACTCCTTCTCTCCTCAAATTCACATTCACATCTCTTCCCCCCAGTTCACCTCTTCCCTAACCCTAATCATTTTACTCATTCCCTCACTCCACCTCTTTAATTCTCTCTCTAAAAATGTCTATCTCACTTCTCTTGAGAAAATCAGAACTTAGACACAAAATAACTGGGAGAGATTTTGATATTCAATTCTTCATGAGTTCATAAGCATCTCTGTATTTGGTTGGACAATTTTGGTGGAGGATAACCCCAAAGAAATGACGAGAGAGATGAGCTATCCAAAGAGATAGAATCTCTCATTTCTCTCTTTTCTTCTCTCTAAAACCCCCCACTCTTTACCTCTATGAATTAGCTTCAAAACCCACAAAATTTATAGCAAATATCCCTCATTTTACTCAAGAATATTCATCATTTGAAGTTGATCTTCAAGGTAAAATCAATTTCCTTACATTTCGTTCACTGTTCTTTCAAAAATATCAAGTTTTCTTGCATATTTCTTCTCCATAAACACTTTTCTTTGAGATTATTCAAATACATGTCTAATTTGATGATAATAGTGGTAGAATTTTACCCAAAAACAATATGCATGTTGTTAGAAGGTGAAATTCAATGATCAAAACCTAAACCAAATCCACCAACTTTAGTTTTAAAAGTTTTAAAGATCCAAACCTACATGAATTCAAGTTTTTAATTAGAAACATCATTTTGAACAAAATAAGCTCATACATGGTCTTAACATCATAATGCATGTGATGAACATCAAGCCTAAAGGCTTGATTATCAAAGTACATTGTTAAGAATGCTTATAAATCATTTATTCATAAATAAATATCTAAAAACTTCTTTTCTGTTCAAATACGATTCTTCCCAAAATCTAAACAACAAATTAAGATGATCTGGAAAGTTTCAGAAAATAAATCATTTTCTCGATTTATTGTAATTTTTGCAAGAAAATAGAGCAATAATTCACATAAAATACTTTTTATGGTCAATAAATTTTGGTAAATTTCCGACGTGGCCTATTCACTGTTTAAAGACATTTCATGAAGTTGCATGCATTTCTATGATTGTTTTCTGTTGATTTCATTTTTTTTTTTGAAGAGAAATAAATTGTCAAATATAGTTATGAATGTCCAAAGCCATACTTAGTAATTTTCACATCTTCTAGACATCATAAAGACTCCATGAAAATTTTCTAGATTTTTTCAAGAGAATTCCTTATTTTTCCCGATTTAATGAATGTTTAAGGTATTAAATTGATGTAAAATAGCTACACTTATGCAAAAATTATGAAACTTCATCAGAAT